ATCATGGGCCCCAAAACCCTATCCCAAACAAAAAGGCCCCTACATGAAACCCCATGAGCCCGGAAGCCCCCGAAAAAGGTGGTGATCAAAGATTTTCGGGTGCTCTATCACGCCATCCCCGGAGCTCTTCGGGCTCTGCTCCTTGCAATGGAAAGCTGAGACCCGGAGGGGGGGGGGGGGGGGGGGNNGGGTTTAGGGTTTTTTTTTCTGGTTTTTGTGGTGGGTTTTTTGGGCCCTTGCTAAAATTTCTGGCTTCAGGGTATTTGGGGGTTTAGGAGTTATATGCTTGTGGTGGTTTATGGGTTCAGGGTTCATGGAACCAAAGCTCTATGCGGGTTTCATGCTGTCGTTACAAGGGTTTTCAGTTTTCCAATCGTCTCATGAGGGCTCTGTGACCCTGAAGGTGCATGCGGTTGAAAGCTCGTTAAAGGAGTTCTAGGGATGTTGAATTAAGTTACATAATATATAAGTTAAGAGGCAGTTGCTTCATTGTAAAGCCTTTGATGGCAGCTTGCATCATGCGGTACTCCAACCCCAAATAACTGAGCACCCACGGGTCGTTCAGTTGAATAACAGCCGACTAAACTAAACGCGCAATAGATGGGTCAATTGCTTGTATTTAGAAAGGCTAAAGCATTTTCTGTTCGGCATGCCGGGTCACAGGTGGGATGGCTCCAGCCGCAGTGAAAACTTCTTCTTCAGTTTCATTGTCGTGACGGCGCAGGCTGGGCCACTCCGTTCAACTCAGGGAGTGTAGGGTTTAGGGTTTCAGGCTGAAAGTTCAGCAAGTACAACAATCGGAGGTTCAAGCCATGGTTCTCATATACCTGCAAACCCTATCCAAAAGGTCATGACACTAAGAACTACAATCCAGCCAGCTGGCTTTTCACGCAGGGGCTTTGCGGCTTGATGCACTGAAGCAGTGGAAGTCGCTCATGTGCTGGGAATGCCTACACTGCTCTACGTAATGTCTTATGCTACCGTTTTGAACCCCAGAAAATCCATACATGTAAGCAAAATAATAAATAAACTCAAACCAACTAAACACCTTCGAGCCTGCGAAGTCCGAGCCCGACACTGAGGCGTTGCAGATGAAACACCGGAAGCCACGAAGTGTCGCTGCTGCTGCTGCTGCTG